ACTGGCTGAAATCAAGGTGTTGGCTCGGGCTGCAATCTCATCTAAGACTCAAAGTTGACAGACTTCAGTTCTTTGTGATGTAGGACTAAGGTCTACACTTTCTTGCTGACTCTCACTGAGGCCCAGAGTCCTTGAGTCACTGTAGGATAAGCACTGGACTGTTAACCACAAGATTGGCAGTTCAAATCCACGAGTCACTCCTTGGAAATCCTACAGGGTCATTATGAGTCAGAACCAACTCAAAAGCACTGAACCACAGCATAATCATCACTGAGACCTAATTCAGCTCTTGGAGGCCCCCACCATGCTCTGTCATGTGATTCTTACAACAATATGGCAGTGTGTTTCTTCAAGGCCAACAGGAAAATTTCTGTTTATTCAAATCTGCATTCTTTTAAGGGCTCACCTGGTTAGGTCTGCCTTACCCAGAATAATCTTCCACTATAGTGGTTATCAAGGAGCTCTGGTAGCATAGTGGTTATGAATCGGGCTGCTAACCTCAAGGTCAGCAGTTCGAAACTACTGGCAGTTCCACAGTAGAAAGACGAGGCCTTCTTCTCTCATAAAGGTTTACAGCCTCGGAAACCCTGTGCAGGGTCGCTATGAGTCGGAACCAACTCCACGACACATAAAAGCAATATCAAGATATTCACTAAATATAGGCAGTTCAAGCTCACCAGCTGCTCCTTGGAAACCTTATACAGGGTCACTATGGGTTGGAACCGACTCAATGGCACTTCACAACAACAACATATTCACTATAAGTCAACTGGAAAATCTGCTACAAAAGACCTCTTAAAAGTGTTCAAGAGCAAAGATGTCAGTTTGTAGAATAAGGTGCACCTGACCCAAACCATGGTCATTTCAATAACCTCATATACATGTGAAAGTTGGGCAACAAATAAGGAAAACCATAGCAGAATCAATACAATGGAATTATGATGTTGGTGAACCACAAACAAATCTGTCTTGGAAGAAGTACAGCCAGAATGCTCCTTAGAAGCCAGGATGGTGAGATTTTGCCTCTTGTACTTTGGACATGTTGTCAGGAGCGATCAGTCCCTGGAGAAGGACATCGTGCTTGGTAAAGTGGAGGATCAGTGGAGACGAGGAACACCCCCAATGAAATGGACAGACATGGTGGCAACAACAGTGAGGTCAAATCTAACAATTGTGGGCATGATGCAGGACCAGGCTGTGTTTTGTTCTTTCGTGCATAGGGTCACTATGAGTCAGAACCGACTAGACAGCACCCAACAAGAATAACAAAATCAATTGATTAATCGCCTAATAATGGAACTAACAGTGTATGATCTCCACACTCAAGGAGAAAGGATTAGACATGGTGTGTACATCAGAGTGTGACAATCCTAAGGCCGTTGTAGAATTCTGCCTGCCACAGTAAACATCACAACTTTTTTTAAAAGTTACATCAGAAAAATAATGTAAGGTGGTGTACAAGGCATTGATAGGCAAGAGACTACAGGCTCAGGCAATAGAAGAGTCATGTTTTTTGTGGGGGAATTCACCACTGGAATGTTCAAGTTGTATGGGCTGGGGAACATGGGAGTTCAATATGCCAGGTTGCATGACCAGACAATGGGACATGGAAATAAAGATCCAAATAGAGGGTTCTTGTTACTATTGTTGTTGTTGTTGTAAGGTGCCATCAAGTCGGTACCGACTCATAGTGACCTTATACACAGCAGAACAAAACACTGCCCGATCCTGGGCCAACCTCACTACTGTTGCCACGCTTGAGCCCATTGATGCTGCCACTTGGCCAATCCATCTCACTGGGGTCTTCCTCTTTTTCTCTGACCCTCCACCTTACCAAACATGATATCTTTCTTCAGTGACTGGTCCCTGCTGACAATAAGTCCGAAGTGTGAGAGACGAACTCTGGCTGCACTTCTTCCAACACAGATCTGTTCGTATGCTTAATGAAGATTTTTGAAAGGATGATTCTCCCCTCTTTGATCCCTTACAGTAAACAATCAAAATACCACTCCTTACTAGTTATGCTACAGCATCATTTTTCTGAAAACAGTATTTTGTGGTGCTTTTGCTGAAGGCTTGCACAGCAGTGTAGGTTCCCATTCAGCAATTCTACATAATTGTTCAGTGACCATAGTTACATTTTTACTATACATAAACATTCTCATTATTTCTATTATTTCCACTAATGTACTTTCTCTGATCCTGTACATACTCATCTTTGTTTTAAAGTAATCTTTGACCTTGTGGTCTCATACAGATGATTATTTTTAAAGGAGCACAGTACTTAATGGGCAATATTATTTTTTGAGCCAATTTGTTTTTAGCTACAATGTGACTTATACGGTTTAGTTTCAGTTCAAGATTTCAAGAATATCTCAGGGGAGTAGTCTCCAAGCCTTCTCTAGTCTCACCAGTCTAGTAGGTCTGTTTTTTATTTGTTTTACTTTAGGAATTTGTGGTTTTCTTCCACGTCCTCCTTCCAGTTGATCACAATCCATCTTTTGTGGATTTGTTTCTATTGATATTTCTGATTAGAATGATCAGTAATGGTAGTCAGGCACCGTCTTTCTCTCCTGCTCTCAGGATCGATGAGGACATGGTTCATGTAGTTTGTCCTGTAGATTAGTTTCTGTTAGTCTTCGGTTTCCTGCTTTCTCTTTTGCTCTGGTGAGTACAGCCCAATAGTTGTATTTTAGATGGCTGCTCACAGCTTTTAATGTCCCAGGCACTAAACATCCAACTAGAATGCAGAAAATATCTTCACGAACTATGTTATTCCAATTACTGAGATGTCTCAGGAATTGGGCTAAAACCCTCAAAAGTTAGAAATCCAATCTTGTGAGTTTTAATTATGTCTAAGAAGTATCCATAATTGTACTCCCATGTGTTTATATATGTATGTATATACATATGTATGTATATACACACCTGGTGAGGTGCTGTGGGCTAAGGCATCAGACTTCAAAGTTGTTTGAACTGCAAGTTCGGTGGTTCAAGCTCACCAGCTGCTCCTTGGAAACCCTATACAGAGATGCTATGGGTCAGAATTGACTCAATGACACTTTAACAACAACAACCATATAATCAATATATTGACAATTATATACATATATATATATGCGTGTGTGCAGTCACATAGACACATACACTTATATGTGCACACACATATAGACATAGCGTAGTGGTTACGAAACAGGCTGTGAGCCGCAAGTTCAGCAGTTCGAAACTACCAGCAGTTCTGTGGGAGAAAGATAAGGT